GCCGTGCCCCAACGCCAGAATCGCTTGGTTGCGGATTTGAAGCAGCGCTCCGCTCTCAAACATCTGCAACACGTCCAGCTGCCTGCGCGTGAAGTTCGGCTTTGGCTGGCCAGCCTGGGCAGACAGATGGAGGGAAAGCCGCTCCCCCTCGTTGTAGCGCGCGATGGCCTCGGCCTTCTGGTGGTGCAGCCGGCGCCGCTGTTGCCGCAGAGCTTCCTCGGGAACTGCTGCATCACGGCCCTCACTGTGATCAGCTTGCAACGCTTGCGTTAGCCAATCAACGTCGAAGCGCCCTGAGAAGGCCAGCACCTCCCAGATCTGTTTGGTACCGGCCACACGTTGCAAATGGCGATGCCACCGCTTACGCTTCTGGTCTTTCACAAACTTGGCGACGCTACCCAGACCTGCACCCTTGGCCTGGCCACCTTTTCCCGCAGGCTGAGAAGCACCGTGAGAACCTTTCTTACCGCCTGGCCCTTTGTTAGGACCCTGCGGAACCGCATGGCCCCCTTGTGGCGCAGACTTGCCTTTCGCTTTTCCCTTTTCGATATCCCGTTCCTGAAGCGCACGCTGCTGCCGCGACTGCTCGTACTGGTCGCGAGCTACTCTGACCAATTCCTGGCGCTCAGGCTCCGTGAGAACGTAGCGCATGTCGTCGATGTTCTTGCTCCGCAGAAAGTCATGTCGAAGCTTAAGGACAGAGAGAATGGCTCGGCCAGTCTCCTCCTGAGACGCAAAGGCCGCGTCATATTCCGAGCCAGGCTGAGGAGCGCCAGCTGGATTAGTGTCCGCTGGCTCCGTGGACTTCCTCTTTTTGAAAAGCAAGAGACTGAGATGATGGAGGACTTTCGGATCGTACTCCTCGTCGTACCTGTCGTCCCAAAGCTGCCTCAGCTCCCTGTGCAAGTCGTCCGCGCGATTCTGAACGACATCCTCGACGTAGTCGGGATCACCCGGTGAAGTCGGTGAAAGCGGAGGAGTAGAACTCGGCGACCGATCCCAATGCACAGAAGACTCGCGGTCCGCCTGTACGCTGACGTCGGCGTCGGAGACGTTTTCGACGACAATCTTCCGCCTCTTGCTCTCCCCAGGCTGAATAGCACCAGGGAGAGTGAGCACAACCGCCACCGCATCGTGTGCGTCGTTGCGCATGCCACGATCCGTAAAAGACGCGCCAACGGCAATGGAGCAGAAACGGGCGACTGCTCCGCAGACCGCGACGTGGTCGCCTTTGAGGTCGGCCGGAGTGGCATGGACCTCCCATACCTTCTCGTCGTTCTGCTGGCGCTGGTAAGCCTCCCGCGCCTCCTGGAAAGTGAGGTTGTCGTCGCCGACTACAAGCAGAACGACTGCCTGGTTTAGATTCTCAAGAATCTTGGCCAGGCCGTCCAGGTGCAAGCGGAGATGGCGAACTGTCCGCTTTCGAGTCTGGATGGTCGGCGGTTTCTTGCCGCACACGATGTGCATGTTGGCGATCACCACGTGGAACTTGTCATGGCCTGGTTTGTTCACCTCAAAATGTGAAATAACAGCATCAATCTCTCGGCCGCTAGGAGGCCTGTAAACTTTGCTGTAATCCAGAAACAGTTCCGCAGGCTGAGAAGCACCGCGGAACCCCCAGAGAGTCAAGTAGTTGTCGACCTCCGAGAAGCGAATGCCATCACCGAAAGGCTTACTGAGGATCTCTGTCACGTTGATCCCTGCTCGGCGAAAGCCTTCACGGAACGCACCGACCTCGCAGCCACAGACAATATCAGCATCAGCGGTCTCCACTATCGTGGCGCACAACCTTCCGAAGTTAGCGCAGTGAGTGGCCGCCTGCTTACCAGTCATCATGCCCTGCTCGAACCCGAAATTGAACGAGGCGACCGTGAAAGACGCAGGCTGCACAGCGCCAGAACCAGGCGTCTGTCCACCTTCCTCCGCAGGCTGAGAAGCACCGCGAGGCGGCGCAGGCTGAGAAGCACCGCGAGGCGGCGACACTTCGGACGAGCCTCGCGGAGCAGAGGCTGCGGATGAACGTTGGACATGGGGGTACGGCCAGGGGAACGCCATTGCAATCAAAACTCAGTGGTCTGCAGTGAATGAATGCAGTGGCACGATTGAATGCAGAGGACTGCAGTGTCACTAGCAAGTCCTGAACCAAACACAGCTGTGGCGGAAGGAGTATGAAGCGTCTGGCTATTCAAAATGTGGCCCGGGAATGGAGTTCTGGGAACTCGAAGACCAGGAAGTGGCCTACAGTTGGCTCCGGGCATCCAAAATGTGGCCCGGGAATGGAGTTTCGGGAAATGGAAGAGCACGAAGTGGCTTACAGTTGGCTCCGGGCATCCAAAATGTGGCCCGGGAATGGAGTTCTGGGAAATGGAAGAGCACGAAGTGGCCTACAGTTGGCTCCGGGCATCCAGAATGTGGCCCGGGAATGGCGTTCTGGGATGTCGAAGAGCACGAAGTGGCCTACAGTTGCATCCGGCCCCCCAGAATGTGGCCTGGGAATGGAGTTCTGGGAAGGCGAAGAGCACGAAGTGTGTGACTGTTGGTGAAAAACGAGCCCGGCTCACTGCCGCCCGGCAACTCCCAACACCTGCCCGGACCCCCCTGTGGAGTGATCTGCTGCTCTCTTTTGATCCCACTAGAAACCTATCAGTCTCCGCTGTTAGGTAAAAATAGAAACAAAACAAATCGTGCCCAAAACTATTTTTCACTACCCTTGTAGGGGTCGGAGGATCGCGCCGCATCGCCGATGCATCGCCGATGCATTGGCGACGTCGGCGATGCACATCGGCGCTGCCGGCGTAGAGAAGATCGGGCCCCCACATCGAGCCGCGTCGCCGATGTATCGGCGCTGCGGAGCGATCCTGCGACGCCACACGCTCGGACCCCATCTGGGAGGCCGAGACTACTCCTCACCACTGCTGGACCACTAGCCCTCCGACCCTGCCAGCCGAGGCCGTCAGCCGTCCACACCCCGGCTGGCCGGCTTTGCGGCTCCCCAGACCCCGGACGTCATGATTTTTCCATGGCGTGACCCTCAGAAGTCTGGACCCTTTCCCGGGGACCGGTTTTTCATCCTGAGTCGCTTTTTGGCGGTCCCGAGGCCCGGCGAGAGCCTCTGGAGGCCGAAACTGGCGAAAACCCTCCCGCCACGATTTTTCGCGACGCGAGGGGTTCTGGGGGGGCGGGCACGAGCCGGGAGCAGACCACTGGAGCGCACCACCGGGCCCGGTTGTTGAGCAGGGACCGACCGTCCCGACATTCCTACCACGAAATATTCTTAGAACCCAAAAATGCTCTAAGAACAAAAACAATGTACATAGAACATAAAGCCGATGTGCTAAAATAAGACAGACTCCGCCAGAAATGTTTAAAGAACATTTCGTGGAAACCACCAAATGTTCTTAGAACATTGTTTGGTAGGGCGATAGGCGAGCCAGGACGCTTCGCCACTGCTTGAGGTTGAGCCGCGCGGGGAGGGGGGGGGGGGCGCAGCCGCGCCAAGGCCGCGGGGGGGAGGCGCGCGAGCTCGTGCGCGGCAGCGCTGAGCGGCCTCCGCGCCCTGCCTCGGGCGGAGCGTCCTGCCGGGTGGGCGGGGGGGGCGATTTGTCCATGGGCACCGCCTCGGGGAGCGATCTTCGGGGGCCTCGGCAGGCAGTGGCTATGGTTGTGGGTACGTACAAATACACATATATATATGTATCCATAGAGAGAAAGATTTAGATATAGGTACGTTCTAGATCTCTCTCTCTACATGTATATATATGCATATATACATACATGTTCATGTATGTGTATACACACTTATACACACATGCATATATTTATATGTATGTATTTATGCACCAACTGTGTACATACACACGTACATGTGCTCATGTGGCACTCCCAGGGCCCGAACGAGTCCACACCCGCCGCCTGCCGAAGTCCCCGAAGGTCGACCCCCCGGACGGTGGTCATGGACGAAGCCCCGCCTCCGGGGAGCTTGGACGGCGGAGGTCACCGCCCTTCCCGGGACAGCCGGCCAGCACGGAGGCAGTGCCACGCATCGGAGATGCCTTGCGTCCGCTGGCTGCGCCGCGGGTTGGCGAAGAGAGTCGCAGGCTTGCGTGGCAGCATCGCGGCCGAGGTCCAGAACGCCACAGCCGCCACACGAGCTGGTAGTCGAGCCATCCCTCCGCCTCCCGCCAGGGATCGTCTGCCCCAGCATTATCGGCATGCCCATGGACTCTGACCTGGAGGAGAGCCCCACATGGCAGCCGAAGCAACCCAAAACTGCGAGCGGCGAGATGTTGAGACGGCAACATCGTGACCTCGGCGTAGCCAGGCCCTCCTTCGGAGTCACTCAGCGAAAGGCCGCGGAAGCAGGGCGGGAGAACAAGCAATGTCATCTTTGCTTCGGGGAGGCGTCGAAACCGGAAGACGTGCAACGCCTGGGTGTTCTTGGAACGCGTGTGCCTACCAATGATACGGTCGAACTGCTTCTAGACCTTCCCTACGACGGCCACCGCCACCAACTGGAGGTCGCGGGACCCTGCTCTGCTCGCGGACAAACAGGCCAGCTTCCACGAACGAGCAAGTGCGAACGAACGCATTCGGGACCAAGCAGGGGAGCTACCGATATCATACTCAGCGAGTCTCCCAATGGAAAAGACGTGATTAGCTTCAGGTCCACGAAGCCCCCGACCTCGATGCGTTTGACCTGATCGGTCCATACATCAAAACCGCTAGGATATGATGGGACACTCAAATGGCATCGACGATCTTGGGATCAATCCCGTCGAGCGTGGTACTTGCCTGGCTCCAGAACAGGGAAATGCTCGTGCCCGGAATGCTCACCGATAGTACCATTACTTGGTCCACTCCCAAATGCTGCGCGCCTCCTCTCCGCAAGTCGCTGAGAACGGGTTCGACTCCCGCAGCCCCCCCCCGCGCAAGCAGAGCCCGGGAGAGAGGACGCACGCTCACCCCAGTCGTCACCGCGTCATCGAGAGGGAAGGCGCGGCCTCGGCCGAGGGCGGCCTGTACGCGCTTGATCTCCCCGAGAACCTTCATCATATCCTCCCTGACCTCGTCTTTCGTCCTGTGGTCTCTGTTCTTAGACTCCAGGACGTACCGTTGCGTGCTCAAAAGCTCTTCTGCCTGGAGGATGGCAAGGGGAAGGAATGAGGCCCATGCGTTCGGTGGCGGCAGAGGCGGAAGCAGCAGCCAGAACAGAGCGATGAGCTGGTGACCGAAAGAAGCAGGTTGCAAAGAGAACGTCAGGGTGCACGAGGAGAACAAGTAGCGTCACATGGACACAAGAGTGCCAAAAAAACAAGGTGTCACACACCGCTTCTGATTACGCAGGGATGCATAAACGCAGCTCAGGGCAAGAGCTGGTAATGAGCAGTAACGTTGACGAAGCTGGTACCTCCACGAAAAATCTGGAACGCGCATCATGAATCGTTAGTCATTGTCCGCCTTTCCAGCCCCCTTCCACTCCGTCTCCTCCTCCTCCTTCTCCTCCTCCTCCTCCTCCTCCTACTCCTCATTCTGCCACCTCGTCACGCCCTAGCGCCTTATACTTTCCACGTTCTTTGGCCTTCTTCTGCTCATCGAACGCATCGGCATGCCGTCGACGCATCCCTCTGGGCACCCGCGCGACAGGAGCATCCTGCCTCAGGATCCATCGACCCCAGCGGACGATGCCGCTGTGGCAGCCGTCGGCCCGCGGTGGCCATTAAAAACGAGCAGCCTTGAGAAGAAAAGGGTCCGCCGCTGGACGGCCTCGGCCTGGCCAGGCAGCCCGCTGCCTCGCGTGCTGCAGTCAAAACGTGTACTAAGGACGGGAGGCCAGGGCGCAAGACCCTTGGAGGCGGAAGTTGGTTTTTGTGTGGGCGGCGGGCAACTAGTGAAATCGGCAAAGGATGGGCCGCAGAGGCACGGACATCATGGCACCCCATGTCAAGGCGCGCGTGCTTACTTGGCGCGCTCCCTGTGGCAGAGGAAGAAAAAACGGCATCAACATGAACTTCTGGCGTTCCGCGAAGATGCTTCTTGAATCCGCGCTGGACCCCCCCTCCCTGGCGCGCGGAGCGCGCCATGGGGCGGCGCTGGAGGCGCCGCTGGAGGGCCCAGCGCGGATCCAAGAAATCCGCGCGCAGCACCCAAAGTTTATGTTTCTTCTGTTCTCTCTTCTTCGCGCTGACTGTAGTACGACTGGGCGTTGGGCTGGAAGGGGCCAGTGGCCTTCACACCGATGCAGTCGGCCTGCTCCTTCGTGCGAGGCTCGTGAGCTGTGCACCGAGCCACGGCAGGCGAAGAATGTCAATCTTCTCGTCGAGATCTTTCGGGAGGAGGCAGGCCGCGTCTGTGTGGCCCTTCTCCTTCGCGGCAAGTCGAGAAGAGAAATGGGTATCGGCACGAACTTTTGGCGCTCCGCACGGAGTTCTTGGGTCCGCGCCGGGGCCCCTGGGCGGCGCCTCCGGCGCCGCCGCATGGCGCGCTCCGCGCGCCAGGGCGGCCCCGCACCCCACAGTGCCACCCCAGTGCTGACCCCGCGCGCGAGCTCAAGGACCGTGGCGCGGGCTACTTGCATAGCCGGAAAAATCTTGTGAAGGGGCCCTGGGACACACAAATACATAGACACACATATTCCCCATATTTTCTCATATTTTCTGGTTTTTTGTCTTCCCCCCACTTCCCATATTTTCTTATATTTTCCTGGGAATCGACGATTAATTGTGTCTGTGTTTTTTCCCCTCCTGATCCTTGCATAGCCGGAAAAAGTTGAGCGATCGTGTCAATGGAACGATGGCGATAGGACGGCGGTGCTCCGACACCGCAAGCAACATTCCCGAGCAAGCACCTCCATGCAGTGTTTTTTCTCCTCAGAATGACACCACGGAGGACGGGTGCGGGGTGGCGCAGCTGAGGCTGAGCAGGCGCCCAGCCGCCAGGACGACGATGCCGTACCCGTCTGAGAAGACATGGCAGGCCACCTGCGGCTTGACGTTCTTCACCTCAACGCCTGCGAACTTCTCCAAGTGTTCCATCTCGATCTCGTTATCGAGGTGGCCAATGTTGCCGACCATGTCGCTGTTCTTCATCTTCTTCATATGCTCCAACGTGGTGGTCTGCAGGTTCCCTGTGATGAACGCACAGATGTCCATCTCGCTGACAGCGCTCTCCATCGCAACCACCTGGAAGCCCTTGATACACACCTGGAGTGCTCGGATAGGGTCACTCAGTGATCAGCACCATGGCACCAGCACCGCGCATGGCGAACGCGCAATCCTTGCCAACATCACCATAACAATAGATGAGCGCACGCTCGCTCCGGATCGTCACGTCTGTGGCACGCATGATGCCATCAGGCAGCGAATGCCTGCACCCGTAAACATTGTCGAATCTGAACGTGGTCACGCAATCGTTCACATTGACGGCTGGGAACAAGAGCTCACCCTTCGCAACCATCTCCTTCAACTGGTGGACGCCAGTGGACCGGAACAGAATCTCGCAGCAAATGCAAGATGCACTTGAGTTCGGCGTTGTCCGTGCTTGCAGAATCGGGAAGGGATCCGTCCTTCGCGAACTTGTCCTGAAACTCCTTGCATGTGTGGATCAGGAGAGTGGCGTCGCCGCCGTCGTCGACGAGCTGGTCGCAGCCGTGCCAACCGGGTACGGCCGACATTGTGCGGTGCACTACCAGTACTCATGGAGCGTCTCCCACTTCCAGGCGAAGACGGTGGCGGTCTCGGCTTCGCGACGGCTGCGGCGGCGTGATCCTGGGTGCTGAAGATGCTCCAGGAGCACCAGCGCAACCTTGGCTACCAAGGCCTGCAGCGTCTCGATCAGGACGCTCGTATTGATGGTCATGTGGAGCGAGCCGTTGATACCCATGCCCTTCAAGGGTTGCTTCGGGCAGAACTCCTTGCGGGCCACCATGAGGCCTTGCACCTCGTGCTCTGACAGGGCCAGTTCTTTGCGGCCGAACTAGGCTAGGCCCATGTCCTTGACCTTGGACTCCGCCGCGGCACTGGAGAGATGCGGCAGCAGGCTTGACGACGTCTGGTTCAATGTCTGAGCGGGTCAGCTGGGTCTGGACCTCCTTCCTTGAGCCAAAACAGTTGTGAAACCTTTTTGTCGTTACACTCCTTCGGAGCAAAGCTGAGGGGATTACAACTACCCTGGCGACGTGTCCAACCCATCTGCAACCAGCGGCCAGAGCAACAGGCCAACTTGTGAAAGCCAAATGGGAGGTTCGCGCGTGGCCCGACCCGCAGGACAAGCCCCGCGGCATAAAATGGGAGAGGACAACAGGCCAACGATGACCGCAAGCGGGCACGAGGGTAGAGACAATTGAATGCACTGAAGAGGACAGAGGAGGCCCTGGGAGTAGGAGTCGAGAGACGAGGAGGCGGGAGCCTGAAGGAGAGCGAAGGGAAGACATTGAATGGGGAGTTGCGGTGCTTGCGCAGTTCGCAGCCCCCAGAGACGGCGAGGTCCAGTTCTGATCCCCGTAAGACACCATTCCTCTGGCCCCCCCCAGAAGTCCACGAAATGGGCGACGGTTTCGCAGATGGCAGCCCCCAGGGACGGCGAGGTCCGTTTCAGGTCTGCGAAATCCACCACTCCGCCAGACCTCCCATGAGCCCACGAAGGTGACCACAGTGGGGCGGCTGCCCAGGGTGACGAGGTCCCATTCCGACCTGCGCATGGCATCCCATAGCTGGATTCCCCAGCAGCTCACGAAACTGGCAAGCATGCGCAGATGGCAGCCCCCCCAGGATGGCGAGGTCAAATCTGGGTCTGCGAGGCCCACCACCCCGCAGAACCTCCAAGGCGGCGACGTGTTCGCAGGTGGCAGGCCCCAGGGACAGCGAGGTCACACACGGGTCAGGGCGTGACGTCACCCCGCTGGACCTCCCAGGAGGTCAAGAAAGTGGCCACTGTGGCGCAGCGGACGGCCCCCCCAGGATGGCGAGGGCGAGCGTGGGTCTGCGTGGTTGGCCACTCCGCTGCGGACCTCCCGGGAGCTCACGACAGCTGCGACAGCAGCGCAGTTGGCAGACCCCTCAAAAGGTGGCGAGGTCAAATTTGGGCTTTAATCCACCACTCCGGTGGATTTCCCAGGAGCCAACGAGGACGACGACAGTGGGGCAGTTGCCCAAAGTGCCGAGGTCCAATTCCGACCTGCGTAAAACACCCCATACTTGTATCTACCAGCAGCCCACGGAACTGGCAAAACATGAGCAGGTGGCAGCCCCCAATGGTGGCGAGGTCAAGTGTGGGCCTGCGTAATCCACCACTCGGCTGGACCCCCCGGGAGTCCATGAAGTTGACGGCAGTGGGCAGTTCACCAGGGTTGCGAGGTCCAATTCCGATCTGCACACGGCACCCCATAGCTGACCACCCCAGGAGCTCACAGAACGGGCAGAACGTGCACAACTGGCAGCCCCCAAGGGTGGCGATGTCGAATGTGGGCCTGCATAGTCCACCACTCCGCAAGGCCTCCAAGGTGGCGAGAGTTTCGCGGGTGCCAGGCTCCAGAGACGGCCAAATCACACCCAGGTCTGGGTATGCCGTCACCCCGATGGACCTCGCAGGAGGCTGCGAAAGTGGCCACCGTGGCGCAGTTGACAGGTCCCCCAAAGGATGAAGAGGTCGAATTTGGGCCTGCGTCGTCCACAACTCCGCTGGGTCCCCCCAGGAGCTCACGGAAGTGGCCACTCTAACGCAGTTGACAGCCCTCAGGGTGGCGAGGTCTAATGCGGGTCTACGTAGACCATCACTCCGCTGAACCTCCCAGGAGCCTACGAAAATTGCGATGGCGGCGCAGCTGGCAGCCCCCGAGGGTGGCGACAGCGGCACGGGTGGCGAAGTCCAAATTGGGTCTGCGCAGCCCACTACTCCGCAAGGCCCCCAAGGTGGCGACAGTGTCGCGGGTGACAGGCCCCAGGGACGGCGAGGCCACACTCGGGTCTGGACACGGCGTCACTAGGCTGGACCTCCCAGGAGGTCACGACAGTGGCGCAGCCGGCAGCCCCCCAGGATGGCGAGGTCGACTTTGGGTCTGCGGAATCCACCACTCCGCTGGACCTCCCAGGAGGTTACGCACTGTGGCGCAGTTGACAGTCCCCCCTAGGATGGCAAGGTCGAATTTAGATCAGCGGAGTCTGCCACTCCGCTGGACCTCCCAGGAGCCCACAGAAGTTGCGACAACGGCGCAATTGGCAGACCCCCCTGGTGGCGAAATCCATTACTCCGCTGGGCCCCCGGGAGCCCACAAAGGAGACGGCAGTGGGGGCAGTTGCCCATGGCGGCGAGAATAAACTCCGACCTGCGTAAGGCATCCCATAGCTGGATCTCCCAGGAGCTAACGAAACTGACAAAAAATGCACACTGGCAGCGCCCCAGGGTGGCGAGATAAAAATGGTCTGCGTAGCCCACCATCCCGCAAGACCCCCCAGGGTGGCGACAGTTTCGCAGGTGCCAGGCCCCAGGGACGGCCAAGTCACACTCAGGTCTGGGTATGACGTCACTCCGCTGGACCTCCCAGGAGGTCACGCAACTGGCCACAGTCGGAGTCCGCCGCTCCGCTGGACCTCCCAGGAGCTCACGATAGTTGCGACAGCGGCGCAGTCGGCAGCGCCCCAGGGTGGCGAGGTCGAATACTGGTCTGCGGAATCCACCACTCCGCTGACCTCCCAGGAGCCCACGAAAGTTACGACAGCGGCACTGTTGGCAGACCCCCAGGGCGGCGAGGTCGAA